AATAGTGGGTACTGGGCTTTTCTCAGTGATATCCTCCTAGAAGGGTATGGACATGGCAGGCCAATCAAATTGGCACAGACCTAGCAGGCCAATCAATGGGGCGCAGATATAGCTGGCCAATCAATGGGGCGCACACATAACTGGCCAATCAATGGGGCGCAGACATAGTAGGCCAATCAATGGGGCGCAGACATTGCTGGCCAATCAATGGGGCGCAGACATTGCTGGCCAATCAATGGGGCACAGACATTGCTGGCCAATCAATGGGGCACAGACATAGCAGGCCAATCCTGGGTAGCGTCTAAATGGGTAATAAGGGACCCCAGTGTTAGGGTAGCGTTCCCTAAATATCTGTAATCCTTCAGGGTATCCTGTGATATAGGACCCCCAGACGCTAACCCCTTTAGACAGCTTAAAACTGTGTGAATAAACCTTAACTGGGACTAGCAGTCCCTAAATGCCCAGCAGGCAAAAAAGTGGTATTTCAGCTGTAGTGGATATAGTTTGAAAATGTTCCAGTGAATATTGTGTCCATTAAATCATGATATACTGAGCGATTCATTTTTAACTGTGATGCACATGAACCTGCAGACCTGTTTGAGATTCCTTCTTCAATATTATGCCTCATCAGCATACCACCTGAAGGGTATTGTACCCGTGGCATATTTCAGGAGTAGGGCTAAACAATTGCCAACTCAATGTGTCCCCTTATTGAGTTCGGAAGGGGCCAGCTTCCACTCTACTAGTCACAGAACCTGATAAACAGAATTTGTGTCAGCATAGGCTGGTCTCCCATACCAGTTAGAGCCAGAGCTAGGTCTGCTTAGCTTAATACACTAGCCATAGACAGTGCATATCACACTATAGCAGTCTCATCTCAGACCTAGAGATGGACCAGGAAGCACAAGGGGATAGGGAAGCCCAAGGATAGGAGCATAAGAATGCTACATGAACAGTGCAAAGGTGTGCTCACCCCTGATTTAAATGGCAAACTGGCTCTGCATGAAAATGTATAGATGACTATGCCAGAATAGAACCTGTGACTTCAAACACTAATCCTAGAGTTTTGTCCACTGAACTATTATTGTATAATAGCTTAGTGACAGCCAGAATCCCAGCATGAGAAAAAATACTCTTGGTCTGACCGCCGTGGGTGGAGGAGGGGCCGTGCAGCAGGTGCACCCTCCTCTCGCCCGTCGGGTGCACGTGGCTCTTGAAGGAGCCGGCCGCGGCGAGGCGGCCACGTGCGCAAACGTGTCCGGCCGCCAGGTACTTGCGTCTAACCGCGAGAAGCCCCAGGTGCCGGCAGGTTCACACCGGAGCTCGGGGAGTCAGAGGATACAGCCTATTGAAACGGCTAGTCTCCTGACAGCCCGAGTGAGAGCGCCCGCAGCCCGCGAAGGGCGCTGGAAAGTGGGGTGGGGGGGAGGAGGAGGGTGAACACAAAGGGGAATAAACTGAAGGTATCCCCAGAAACCCCCATAAAACCCCCACAATGACAGGAAAGTATCCCCAAAGAAACAGGGGAAGCCCAGAAGATCCAAAAGGACAGGAATCCCAACTAAATATAATAAATATATATAATAATATATAAACGTATATAAGAAATAGAAGAAATATAAAATATGATTACTAAATACAATGTAAAAAAGTATATAAAATAAATATAAGATATGACAACTAAGAATAATGTATATAATATATAAAATAAATATATAACATGATAACTAAATATAGTAAATATAATCATAAATAAATCATAATAAATCCCAAAGCCATGAACTAGAAGCAGGAGGCAGTGGTACTCTGACCCGTACTGACTGCGGAGCAGCAAAGAAAGAGGAAATGATGCATGGGGAGGGGAGTTTTATAGTACCTAACTGTTTTCTGATTGGTTGTTTTTCTGTGCTGCTGTGGAGTTCTAGTAAAGAGAGACTTAAGCAAATATGAAGCCTCCTGTCATGTTATAAAATTGAGAAAGTGGATAGAGGAATTATACTGATCACAGTATTGATTTTACTTTCACACTTATAATAAAAATTGCCCTTTAGTCATTTAGCATTATTATATTTGCATTTTAATTATTTTTTAAGTGCACCACTGTATAATATTAGTTTGTGTTGAACACATTGCTGTGTCCAGGATCCTACTCGTTATTCAGGTAGATTAAAAATAATTAGCTTTGTTCATGTTAGCTGAAAGGCATTAATGCACATTTATAATAAAATATATTATAGCAAGATACGGATGTAAGACATTTTAAATGATAGGTTTGATAATTAAATTGGTGGTTAGAACATATAAGTGATCATTAAATCTGAAGATGAATTAATTCATTGATTATTGAAATAATGAGAAATGGGTAAACTAAGTATTTCAAAAGTTATAATAAAAATATTTAAATCTTTATTTTAAAAAAGTCACATATATATCTTTATATTAATTAGGACTGAATACTTT